TTCACTCATATTTGTTTTCAAATTTTAAATTGCTTTTGCACTATGATACCAAATTGTTGCTCATTCTCTTGCCTAGGCAGAGATTGAAGGGAGGATGATGATCTAAAGAACACAAAATCTCTGGTTGTTTGCTTTTGGATAAAATCTTGCTGATGATGTACAGGCGTTGTTTCAAATCCCTAAACACCGGAGATATAAGGAAGATAATCCCTTGCTAACCCCTTTTGAGCTTTGAAGTAGGAGTTTCTTTTCTATATGAAAAAACCTTGAATTTTAACCTGGGGCAGGGTAGTTTTTAGTTAATCTGACTGAGTGTTCAAAATTCATAAGGAAGATGTTTTTTGAAGAGAAACTACGAGGGCTATCTTTCATGTATAATGAAGCCAGAAGATGTGGAATCATAATGTTATCCCTCATTCATCAAGAAACGAGGCAATCACAATCTTCTCAACAAGCAAATACAAGCTAATGTCACGCATTTTGTTCAAAAAGTCAAAAATCGAGAAAAAGAAAAAGCCTGCTAAGTCAAAAAACATGAAAATGTGTGACTTAGGCAAAATTAAGGCATCCCGCTGGACTATCAATTCAAAAGAATTAGTTCAGGCAAAAGTTAGGGAAAATAAAATCGCAAAGAAAAGGACTGCAAAGAAAAGTCCTCAGTAAAGAACAAATTGGTGACTACAAACACGAAGACATGAGGGTGGTTTCTACTCCGAAAGCCTCGTCGTTTCCTTGACCGTCACAAAATCCTTTTGAGAGATGAACACTCATGTTGAATTAACTGAACATAGGGTTGGAGAACATCATGAAGAATGGGTGGGCACCAAATATTTTGAGCCTTAAAATCTTTTTTCTAAAAACCATGAACCAGACCACGTTACAACCTTCAAAAGTCCTAATTGAAGCAAGGTTATCTTGAAAGCATACTTCAATGAGATAGTGTTCCTAACTCCCATGAATGTTCTAAATAGTTATGTTGGTATCATATGTTTTTCCTATACAAAAATAAATGGTGCTTTAACTCGCAAAATTTGTGCGATATCTTTCAAAATCTTCAAGACTTACATAACTGTTGCATTAGAATTTTCATTCTCATTGTAAACTTTTTCTAACTGCAAAACATTTGTTTGATATCAAGGAAGCTCACATAAGCACCAGTGATGAGTTTATTCTTTTAAGGCCTGAAGCTCTGTTGAGTAATTGGCGGATCACGTCAAGAAAAAATCATATCCAGGGGCATGTCACCTAAAGACCTTGAACACGAACATGTTGCTTCTCCCAGTTAATGCTTTTCCCAACTTGTTTGCTCGTTTGGGGCAAAAATTCGAAGACTTTGTTGTGCCGACTACAGTCAATCCGGGGCAATCACGTCGAGATTTGATGAATTCCTCTAAGAGTTTGAAGACACCAGAGCATGGTGAATGCCAAGTCTTTTGTAAAATCCTCTTGAGACGATTTCTCCTCATCAACCAGATATCTTGGGGCATGTTAGAAGTGAAGCTATTCGCAAGAATTGTCGTGCAACATGCAGCTTATCAGCAGTAAACTTGGGGCATCCAAAATTAGTCCCAGGGGCAATCCAGATTTGTCAAGATATGTGATATGTTTTGCACACATTATCAGAGGGTGGTGTTCCCAGTATCTCCAGTTAAGCATGGCTTTTTCCAGCCGAAACAGTGTTCGTGTTGTCATCCTTTCAAGGGATTGTTAGTGATAGAAGACTGAACTTTGGGCTTTCTACCGAAAGATATCTTCCTCTCCAAAGAGATTTAAGCTTTGTAAAAGGACTTTGCTCCAATGATGGCTTTTGTTTTTTATCTCCAGTAATGTTCCCCTTTTGTTGAGGTTAGCTGAGCGTCGGGTTGTACTGGGACGTCTTATCATCTTCTGTCTATCTCCCCTGTCTGTTTTGTCAACATATACATGAGATTCATTTATTCATTCACACTTACATCATGCATGCACATTTGTATTTGTTGATGTTTTTGAGTTCGTATACCTTGGTTATGTCTATTCAAATAGCGTATTTGATCTTTCCAAATAGAGTGTCAACTTAAGCAGAAAGTGTGCCTCTTTTCTAATTCCCCACTGAGTTAACTCTCGTGGAAGAATCTTGCTTTAGCTTTCCTTTTCCATCTCTGGATAGGATAAATCCCCATTTGAGTTGTTTCCTCATCGGGTGGAGTCTTGTTTGACTATTTTCTCTCCAGTTTATTCCTGGATTGAGCTTTGTCTCTTGTGAACGATACCCTATGGATCTCTCTAGGCTGTGAAACCTAGATGGAGAGTGCATTTATTTTGCAACGTAAATACTTGGTCTCCTCAAGAAGGATGTATTCATGGTTCCCCATTAAAGATGAACTTTATTCCCCAGCAGTGTTATCACAACCTTCTTCTGGAATATCGACATGACAACAAGCGACTGACTCTTTATTTGAGCAGTTTGATTATTTCTGATTTCTCTATGACAAATGGCGGTCTCTTCATGAGCAGTTTGTCCATCCTCGATGAAATTATTGATTCTCACCTCTAGCAATATCTTCATGATATTTTATGGGTATCTTTGAGAAAACAGCAAGCGGCAGTCTCTTCATGGACAACTTGTATGTTATCAACACTTTTAAAAACAGCAAGCGGCAGTCTCTTCATGGACAACTTGTATGTTATCAACACTTTTTGAAAACGGCAAGTGGCAGCTTCTTTATGAGTAGCTTGTGGATTATTGGCAACAAGTGGCAGCTTCTTCATGAGCAGCTTGTACGTTAGTATTTTTGGAAGACAGCAAGTGGCAGCTTCTTTATGAGCAGCTTGTGGGTTTTTGGCAACAAGTGGCAGCTTCTTCATGAGCAGCTTGTGTGTTTTGATATTCTTTGAAGATAACAAGTGGCAGCTTCTTCATGAGCAGCTTGTGTGTTTTGATATTCTTTAAAGACAGCAAGTGGCAGCTTCTTTATGAGCAGCTTGTGGATTTTTGGCAACAAGTGGCGGACTCTTCATGAGCAGCTTGTGTGCTTTAATATTCTTTGAAGACAGCAAGTGGCGGTCTCTTCATGAGCAGCTTGTATGTTATTGACACCTTTGAAAGGCAGCAAGTGGCAGCTCCTTTATTTGAGCAGCTTGTGTATCCCCAACAATAATGTCTACTCAGCAAATGGCATCCCTTTTCGGAAAAGTCCCGTGGATAAGTTTGTTATTTTATCCTTTTCAAGCGATATCTTGGTTAAAGAAGAAATGTGTTACCGTTCTTGGTAAAATTCAGAAATCAGAGATGTTTATCTCCAGCCACAGTGCTGATGTCAATCATTTTGTTTTCCAGCCACAGTGCTGATGTCAATCATTTTGTTTTCCAGCCACAGTGCTGATGCAAATCATTTCTTTTTCCAGTCTTCATACTGATGTAAATCATTTCTTTTCCAGTCTCAACACTGATGTAAATCATTCAAGAGTCTCTCATTTGAAGTCTATGACTCTGTTTTCCCAGTGGAGTTACAACCTCTTCCTCTGTGGGATTACTGTATAATGTGCCTGGTTTCTCCAGCATAGTCTGTCTTATATGATGTCATTCCCCATAAAATTCAGAGCGTTACATTCATATCATATCATGAACATAATCGCGGTATCTTAAGGCCAAAAATTGTGTATTCTATATTTAAGTCCCTTCAATCTCGTCAGATAGAAGAAACTTAAATAGGGGCAGCTGTTGTACCCCAATTTTTGACCTAAGATCCCATTTTTATTTTTGCATTTTTTAAGATAAGTCAAGGTCACGAAATACGGTCGATTTTAACCTCTCACCTTCGAGCTTTGACTATGTGAAGATTGTCAAGTGTTTTGAACATTTTTAGCCTATGTATCACTAATTTCTAATCGCATACAAAGGTGTATGTTCATGTTTTCTTTTGTTTCATGTGCAGAGACAGGTCTGAATCAAGAGCATCAGGTGCCGCGCCTCAATTAAGGTTTCGAGTCTCCCAAGCCAGAAGTACGGTTTATTGTGGATTCTCGAAGACTGATTCATCAAGGCACACCGTTGCACCCTTAATTTCGCCCCTAATTTTTTCAGTCGCACATTCATACCATATTTTGTCATTTGGTCACAATCATTAGTAAATATCTTCATTCATCACATTTTGCATCATTAGTCGTATTTAAGTTGACCAGAAAAAGTCAGTTTAAATCAAAGTTTGCATCGTCTTTTAGTTAAAAAATACTTGACATTTCACTTCATGCATTTTTATCTCTTTACTCGTTTCTTGCATTGCTCCAAGTTGTTTATATGTCGATAATAAAAATATTTTGATTTTATAGACAAACTGTTAAAAGCGATTCAACAATGTGCGAAAAATTAGCGAGAAAAATATTTCAAGTTTTCACCTTTTACCGATCATTTTATGAATCTGCGCTTCGCGTAGATTATGACGGTATGCTCGCTTTATTTTTTCGGTACAGTTCGAAGTCTCGTTTTTAACCTTAAACGTCTGTTTAGTCTGATATTTTTATTATTATTTTATTTTTGATTTTTGACTTGAATATTTTTTCTTTAATCTTTGTGACATGTAGATTATTTTAATGCGTTCATTTTATTTTTTCGGATAAATTTTCGTCCATTTTTTATCATTTTCGGTCATTTTGGGTCTTTATTTTTTATTCATAAAATATTCAAAAAAATTATTTTAAATTGCATTACTTTTTGCTCTTTCAGTTTTTACGTTATTTTTATAATTAAAGAGATTTTTGGTCATTAAAATTGTTTTTGAACTAAGCTTTATTTTGATTGGTTGATAGAAGTTGTGCAGGATTAATGAAAATTGGTGAACGGATCAGATTGCAAACTGAAATAATTTCCTCTTCTTTTTTCTTCTTCTATTTAGTAGCTCATTTCTTACCTTTGTAAAAGGGGGGGGGGGGGGGGGGGGGGAACAAAAAAGAAAAAATCAATACAGTAATACATCATCGTCTCATTTTCTTCCACTCATCAGCATCTTCTCTCTCCACCTCTCTCACAACCAAACATTCATCTCTCTAACCATACCACATTTTCCATATCCATTTCTCTCAGATCTCACAAAGTTCTTAACTTTCACAAAACACCACTTCAAATCCAATACAAGAAAAGAAAACCCATTCAACATTCTCACAAGTGTTTTCTTTTTCTTCAGATGCCTCATGTGAGATGAGGAGAAAACAGCATTATTCGAATCCGTCGTGTGTTTTTGTTCTCCTCTTTTCATTCTTCCTAGGTCTAACAACACTTCTCCCTTCTTCAACATCCATCCATCATTCAATCTGCATATTCCCTTCTGCTTCACTTCACCGAATAACCCAACTCCTTGCTTCTTCAACATACCTCATCTCCTACTCACAACCAGCAACTCATAATTTCATCATGCAAACACTAACCTTCAGTCATCACCACTTTCAGACAACCTCTGTGAGACACCACTACCACTTCATCGTCTTCCACCCCTGACCAACCCAGGAGCCACCATTCGCGAGCTGTTCACAACTTCCAACCCTATTATAACTCTGTTCGCCAGATACTCCATATGTAATCTGTAAACTCTTTGTCCACTTACAAACACTGGATACTCCTTCTCAGCGGTTACGCTACAGACCGACCAACACCAATAGACACCACTGTATCACCACCATCTCATCACCAACTGTTCAACAACATGGTCAAACAACTATGTCAAGCGCATACTCCTGCTCACTCCAATTGCTACAGCTTAGAACAACACCCTTCCATCTGCCCATCTTCTCACACTGTAATATACTCATCTTCCTCCGAACCTCACCCCCGCGTTCAAACCAAACCCACACGGTCCTCCCTCTGTCCAACTGCCTCACAACCTTCATCAACCCACACTCTCGCCTCACCGCTCAACACAATCTGAAGAGAAGAGAGTAAAGAAAGACGACGGCAATGGTGACCCGGGTGGCTGCGAGATATGCGTCGAGAAGGCTACTTAGCAGTGGGACTGGGAAAGTTCTTGGTTAGGAGGAAAAGCTGTAGAAAATGCTTACTTCAAGAAAGCTGAGCAAGAGAAGTTGGAGAAACTTGCTCGCAAGAGTCCTCAACCAGAAGCAAAGCCAGCTGCAGGCTCAAGTGGTACAGTAACCGATGCCAAACCATAACACTCCAATCTATGGTGACTATTATTTATTATTCTATTTTACTTTTAGTTTTTTTATTTAGAAGATTTTGTTAAGTGTTATTTCAAGTAAATTGGGCTTGACACGTGCTTTGGTCTCTAAGCCCAATTGTTATTTCCTATATACCCCATTTAAATTTTGCATTCATATTTTGTTCTTTTTGTTTTTTTTTAATTTTTATTTAGTATTTGATAAATATTAAAAATCTAAGTAGAATTTACTTGTAAATAAATTCAAGTTGTGTTGCTATTCTCATGATTGTGTTGTGATTTCGAACTTTGAATTCGATTTAATTTTTGAATGCATTTAAACACAAATATTTTGGGCGACCTGTTAGAGTTGATTCCTACATGAATCTACTCTAAGATTACTTAACAAAGTGAAATATTTAGTTGCTTTCGATTCACTTCATTTCGGTCCCGTAGCTTATTCTTGCGCCCTATATGAGACTTTAGGTAGTTTCTATATGCTATTGGTTTTGTTTGTGTTTTTCATGTGATGTAGGGATTCTTATCTGACACCGTGAGCTTTATCCACCGCCTTTGCGCTTTATCTGATGCTTGGAGTATTATCTCACATTAGGTTTTTTGATGATGCTGTCGGCTTGTGATTTATTTTCACCTAAGGTTTGGTATACTCTTAGCTTATTTATCTGTCTATGGTTTTAACTCCAAGGGAAATGTTTTAACTTTGTTGACTTCATGTTATCAAACACATCTCATCCAATCGTGCGAATACCCTCATTCATCTTTTGTTTGTTTACTATTTTGTTAAACCTAAGATAATTTTCTCAAAAGATTCAATTTTTTAAACTCACACCTTTTAAGTCAAAACTTCGACATTAGGTTATCACATCTTCAAAATCCCTCCAACACCGATTTTTAGCCAAACGAACCATTTTAATCAAACAAACAATTTTAACCAAAAACAGATATTTCAAAAGGTTCCTGCAGAGTACCGCAGATGCATTGGGTGCTAATACCTTCCCATTGTATAACCAACCCCCGAACTCTCGATCACTTTCAAAAATGCATTGTATTTTTATTACTTTTAAGTATTATTTTACATTGCATACTTTAGGGTTTTGTTTCGCTCTTTTCCCTTTTCCCTTGGAAATAATAAAGCGCGGTGGCGACTCTTGCTTTTGTGAGTTAAGTTAATTAATAGCTTGATCTCCGATTTTCACCGCTACAATGGTCAGCCACCTTAACTCGTTCCGGTACATAAAGATGGATGGGGAATTCATTGAGACTCCATTCCAGCATTTTGAAGAGGTGCCTCAGACACTGGCGTCAGCAGAGACTGTAACTGAAGAAGTTTCTCCTTTGAAGATGGCTTTCTTAAAGGATGCTCGGGCTGTTATTAAGAAGGGTGAGTGCGCAAACTGGGGCCGACTTCCTGATTTCACTCCAAAGACTGACAAGTTTGGTTTGGGCTTCACTGCAGAGGCTCAGAGGGCTGTTCGTAAGGCAAGAATTAGAAGACCTCCTGTGTTCATCACCAACCCGGGAATAAATGCTATTGAAGACGACGTGGAGGAATCTGAATTCGACAGCTGGATCTACCCAACAACCGATGGTGGACCAAGCAACTGGACTTCCAAGGACTTCACACCTGTTACTTTTGTCACTCAGTAATGAACTCTTTTGTTTTGAATTTGTAACAGACAATATTTTGAAACTTTTATGGCTCGGTGTCTTACCCGGGGCACCGTGGCTTCATTTGTGAGGGCTTTTGTGTGTCATTTTCATATATCATCAATAAAAACATTGGACGTTTGTTGCATTTCAAAATCTTGCGCTCCTTTTCTTTCTTTATTATATATTGCAAAACAGCTATATTTACACACACTCACCTATACAAGTTCCAATCCACTCTGGATCTCACTGGTAACAACTCTGCTACTGCCAGTTATGACTTCGAAAATCCAATCAACTTAGCCGAAGACGAAGGTGAAGATGATTGCGAAGTGCCTGGTGAGCTTGCAAGACTACTACTCCAGGAAGAGAGGGCCATTCAGCCACATGAAGAGCCAGTGGAAACGGTAAATCTGGGTACTGAGACAGACAGAAAGGAAGTCAAGATTGGTGCCAATCTAGAGCTCAGTGTGAAACAACGGTTGATTCAGATGTTGCATGACTATGTGGAAATCTTTGCCTGGTCTTACGAAGACATGCCTGGGTTGGATACCGACATTGTGGTTCATTACCTGCCTACCAAGGAAGAATGCCCTCCGGTAAAACAGAAGGTCCTCCGTATGCGTCCAGAGATGTCCGAGAAAATCAAAGCTGAGGTTATGAAACAATTTGATGCCGGGTTTCTAGCAGTGACTTCTTACCCTCAGTGGGTTGCCAACGTGGTTCCGGTACCAAAGAAAGATGGTAAGGTCAGAATGTGTGTTGATTACAGGGATTTGAACAGGGCAAGCCCCAAGGATGACTCCCCTCAGCCTCACATCGACGTTCTGGTTGACAACACTGCTCAGCATAAAGTCTTCTCCTTCATGGACGGCTTCTCCGGTTATAACCAAATCAAGATGGCTCCTAAGGACATGGAGAAGACCACTTTTGTTACTCAGTGGGGCACCTTTTGCTACAAGGTCATGCCTTTTGGGTTGAAAAATGCTGGGGCAACCTACCAACGTGCCATGGTTGCTTTATTTCATGACATGATTCACCATGAAATCGAAGTATACGTCGATGATATGATTGCAAGGTCCCAAACTGAGGAGGAACACCTTGACCATCTACGAAAGCTGTTTGACCGTCTGAAGTTGTACAAGCTGAGGTTGAACCCAAACAAGTGCACCTTTGGGGTGAGATCTGGAAAATTGCTAGGCTTCGTCGTAAGCGACAAAGGCATTCAAGTGGACCCTGCCAAAGTGAAAGCCATACAAGAGATGCCAACTCCTAAGACAGAGAAAGAAGTCATAGGCTTTCTAGGACGGTTGAACTACATTGCCCGATTCATCTCGCATCTAACTGCTACCTGTGAACCAATCTTCAAGCTACTGAAGAAAGATCAAGTAGTACGTTGGAATGATGAATGTCAGGCCACTTTCGAAAGAATCAAAGAGTATCTACAAGAACCACCCATTCTTATGCCGCCGGTTGAAGGGAGACCTCTAATCTTATACTTGACAGTACTTGACAGTTCAATGGGGTGTGTGCTGGGGCGGCATGACGAGTCTGGCCGAAAAGAACACGCCATTTACTACCTTAGCAAAAAGTTTACCGACTGTGAGACCCGGTACTCACTGCTCGAGAAAACTTGCTGCGCTTTGGTATGGGCTGCTCGCCGGCTGAGACAGTATATGTTGACTCACACTACTCTGTTGATTTCAAAAATGGATCCAATAAAGTACATCTTCGAAAAGTCCGCCTTGTCCGGAAGAATAGCAAGATGGCAAATGATCTTGACGGAATACGACATCCAGTACACGACTCAGAAAGCAATCAAGGGAAGTGTATTGGCAGACCATTTGGCACACCAGGTAGTGGACGATTACCAGTCGATGAACTTTGAATTTCCAGACGAGGATATCATGGTAGTGACTGATTGTGAAGTACCTGGACCGGATGAAGGACCTGAGGAAGGATCCCGATGGTCTATGCACTTTGACGGAGCTTCGAACGCTTTGGGTAATGGTATCGGCGCTGTGATCATATCCCCTAAAGGCACTCATACCCCACTCACCGCCCGGCTATGTTTCAACTGCACCAACAACATGGAAGAGTATGAGGCATGCATCATGGGTCTTCAAGCTGCAATTGACTTAAGGATCAAGTTTCTGAGTGTCTTCGGAGATTCCGCTCTCGTGATCAATCAGGTCAAAGGCGAGTGGGATACGAAACACCCAAATCTTATTCCTTACAAGGAGTATGTGCTGACATTGCTTCCCCACTTCGAAGAGATAACTTTTGAACACTTCCCAAGAGAGGAGAATCATTTGGCGGACGCGTTGGCTACAATGTCTTCTATGTTCAAAGTCAAATGGGACAATGAAGCGCCCCGGATCATTATTTGGAAGTTGGACGAACCTGCACATTGCTGCGATCTCGAGACCGAAGAGGTAACAAAAAAACCTTGGTATCATGAAGTGAAGAGGTACTTGGAAGCTCAAGAATACCCCGAGGGTGCATCCGTTAATGACAAGAAATTTCTTAGAAGGTTCGCAGCAAAGTTCTTCCTCAGCAATGGCATTCACTACAAGCGAAACCATGATTCAACCTTACTGCGTTGTGTGGATAAGACTGAAGCAGAAAAGATCATGGCAGAGCTACATGAAGGTACCTTCGAAACATATTCCAGTGGACATACCATGGCAAAGAAAATACTTCGGGCAGGATATTTCTGGTCCACAATGGAAGCCGACTGTTATCAGCATTCTCGAACTTGTCATAAATTCCAGATCTATGCTGATAAGGTGCACATTCCTCCGGTTCCTCTGAACGTCTTGACAGCACCTTGGCCTTTTGCAATGTGGGGCATTGATATGATCGGCGAAATCAGGCCTACGGCATCCAACGGGCATCGCTTCATCCTGGTAGCGATCGATTACTTCACAAAGTGGGTTGAAGCAGCTTCCTATGCTACCGTAACCAAGAACGTCGTGGCACGGTTCATTCGGCATAACCTGATCTGTCGATACGGCGTACCTGAGAGGATCATTATGGATAATGGTACCAATCTCAACAATAAGATGATCACTGAGCTCTACGAGCAATTCAAGATACAGCACCACAACTCTTCTCCCTATCGACCGAAAATGAATGGGGCTGTAGAAGCAGCAAATAAGAACATCAAGAAGATTGTGCAGAAGATGACAGTGACCTACAAAGATTGGCACGAAATGTTACCGTTTGCTCTTCATGGGTACCGTACCTCAGCACGAACGTCAACAGGGGCAACTCCCTTTTCCTTGGTCTATGGCATGGAGGCAGTCTTGCCTATTAAAGTCCAGATACCCTCTCTCCGGATAA